GGTGGGTGCATCCCAGCTCAAAACTTGCCTGCAGCTATGCTACGAAACACAGTGCATGTGTGAAGACGTCTGCCCCGATGTGCCCACCTCCACGATGCAATCACAGAAGCTGTCGGTTCTGCTAAAGTCCACCCCTCACCAAAGTACGCTTCACTGCAGGAGTGTGGCTTTCATAACTCAGTGCTCGCCCACCCCTCTCCCTGATTCACTAGGTTTGGTTTCTCATCATGACCAATTTAGAGAGTAAATATCAAATTTCTAGGTGCAATTATGTGGGATTTTGTAGTATACTGAGGAAACACCAATCTATGATTTGCCTTACATTTTTTCCCATTCTACTTTGAAATGATTGGAGTAATTCAACCATAGTTTCTTTATTTTAAAATGCTGCATTTAGCATAGCATGAAATTAATACTTCTTTGATGCAGTACCCATGTCCATAGACCTCAGAGGGCAGTTTGTTCTTCACACATTTGTCAAATGAGAATAGCAAACCGAAGTATCATACTGCTCTCAATAAGTCCGTCATGTAATTGTGGGAAGATCTCGTTTTTGTGGGTCTGGAAGCCCCCCAAATCCCATGGCCACTCCAAAGTCACTGCACTGAAGGAGAAGTATGACCGGGGGAAAATCAGAAGAGAAAAAGGCTGTCTTATCTAACTGCAAATAAAATGTCTTACTTCTGCGCATTTCGTAGTGTAAACATATAACAAATTGTTGGGCCACTCCCAGGGTCTTGGAAGGGTCCTGTGCAAATGAGAGGCCCTACGGGTAAGGAAGCTAGTCTTAAAATAAGCCCATGGCACAGAGCCTAAAAAAGAGTGGTCAACTCCAAAAGAAGCATTGGAAAAAGGCTGAACCAGAGACCAAAGAAATGATCCTATGGGCCACTGCCTTTTCATCAAAAACAACAGTTAATTATAGTTTCATTCCTGGTCCATAATCAATAAATATCTTTGGAATAAATGCATGGACACATGACCAAGAGATTGGAAATTTGAGTTCTGCATTAGCTATTGGATCTTAAGCAAGTACCTTTTTCTCAGGATAAGAACAAGCAGAGAGAGAGAGAGAGAGAGAGAGAGAGAGAGAGAGAGAGAGAAAGAGAGAGAGAGAGATAAGGGGACCTTTATTAAACAACTAGTATATGCCAGATGCTCTATAGATACATTGTCATTCAATCCTCCTGACGACTTCATAGGGCAGAAATTACTTACAAAGTAGTACTTGCCCAGTGATACACAGTTAATAAATGATAAGGGTAGTATTTGAACCTAAGTCTGTTTAGTATCAAAGACCAAACAGGAGCTGTACCATATCCACTGCAGCCTCAGAATCCCATGTTTCTCTAGATCTGGAACAACACTAAGAAGGTTCAACAAATTTCTCTAGCAATCACCCTTATTCTCGCTTGCTTTTCTCTCCCTACTGCAGACAAACAAAATCTCTGTCATACATCTACTCTTCCTAAATCCTTATAAAACATGAATGGACTGTACTATCTAAAAAGAAGGCAGTTATAGCCTTACCTACTAGACCAGTAGTTCTCAAACTTTTTGGTCTCAGAATCCCTTTATGCTCTCAAAAATTATTGAGAATCCCAAAGAGGTTTTGTTTATATAGGATGGAGACACACACACACACTCTCTCTCTCTCTCTCTTTACTGTATTAGAAATTAAAACTGAGGAAATCTTAAAACATGATAATATACAACACAAGTTCTATTAGCTGTGAGAGTGATGATGTAACTCATGTCATATAGACTCTGGGAAACTCCACTATACATTTGTGAGAGAATAAAAGAGTAAGAAAGGGAACTAACGACTTAGTATTATGATGAAAATAATAATACTAAAGGATCTCAGGGATGCCCAGGATACCTGGATCACATTTTGAGAACTGCTGTGCTAGACTCTGTGTTCAGATTTAGGTACCTCAACATAAGAAGTACCAGAAGGAGTAAGGAAGGCAGTGCAAGCATTTGAATCCAGAATTTCTATAGAATGCTTAAAGAAACTAAGTGCACCACTTATCAACTTACTGCCTCTCAGTTTCAAACTTGGTCTTCATTGTCCTGTTTGCAATACTAGAACTGGACCCTATAAACACGTCTCCTTTGCCAGAAGGCATGATGTTAAGCTTTGCCAGTAGAGGGCACTGACAGGTCACTGCAGGAGGATGGGGCTTTTCTTCCTGGTTCCGGTGTGTGTTTTTAATTTCCTGCTCCTGCAGTGTTTGGCCTATAGGCAGGCAGTGGCACTTACCTCCATCACGAATAAGTGGCACCCCTGGGGGCAGTTTCCCAGTGAATTTAACACCCTGCAGGCAGCTTCCCAGCAAGTTCTGTGGAAGCTCCACCAGCAACTTAGCCAAGGTTATCCCCATGGGTGGTTCCAGGTGAGCTCCACCAAAGCCCTGGCCAGTTTCCCAGCAAGTTCAGTAAGACACCCTGGGCAGCTTCCTGCTGAATTCTGTGGATATCCAAGTGGGTGGGTGGTTTCCTGCTTGTCAGCATTAGCCTGTGGCACCTCAGCAAACTTCACCATCCAGTGGACTACAACCCTACTCTCCCAAGCAAGGTCTGAGATTCAGACCTAGCTAGGGAAGGGGCTCTTCCAAGTTTATTTTCTATAATCTTTAGAGTTCTCTTTAGCTTTTAGTAGATAAATCCTGACTAGCTAATAATATTTTATACTCAAGTTTTCCTATTCAAATTACTGTGTGGTTTCTGTCTCCTAAGTGAACCTTTGACTAATATGCTTGGGATATCAGAAAGGTTATCAGATGAAAAGTGAATTGTTCTCTATGGCCTCTACAGTTAGAAAACCATGACCAACTCTTGGCTGAAAGTTACAGAGAAATTGATTTAGAATCAAAATAGGTAAAAACTTCCTGATGGTGTAACCTGTTTTAAGATGGAATGAAATGCCTTCAGCACTGGGCGTGGTGGTTCACACCTGCAATCCTAGCACTCTGGGAGGCTGAGGTAGGAGGATTGCTTGAGCTCAGGAGTTTGAGACCAGCCTGAGCAAGAGCAAGACCTCGTCTCTACCAAAAATAGAAAAAATTAGCTGGGTGTGGTGGCACACACCTATAGTCCCAGCTACTCAGGAGGCTGAGGCAGGATTGCTTGAGCCCAGGCGTTTGAGGTTGCTGTGAGCTAGGCTGATGCCACTGTACTCTACCCAGAATGAGACCTTGTCTTGAAAAAAAAAAAAAAAAGGAAATACCTTCAGCAACACATTATACCCTTTTCCTTGAAATGCTGTAACTTAAGTCAGATTTCTACTTGACATCAAGTGAGACTAAATAAGATACCTCTGGGGTCTTAGGATTCCATGAGGCAGTAAGATGTCACAGAAAGAACGCAGTCTTTGGAAATAGCTTGAGATCCCAGGTCTACCATTTACTAGCCAAGTGACTTTGAACAAGTCAATCACTTTGAACCTGCTTTTTCAACTTAGAAGAAGAAATAACACCACCATCTCAGCTTGATTGACTGTGAGGGCGAATGTGAATGCATTTAGCAATGCAGTGCCTGGCACATGGCAGACAATCACTGACTGTGAGCTGTGCTTTCCCTGGAAAGTCTGTGCCTAATGACAGAACCAGAGCATTTTTTTTTTAACCTTAGGTAGTGGTGGCGAAGTGGTACATCGGAGATCTGGCACATCTCCCTGACAACCCAGTGGCAACGCATGCCTTCCACGTCCACTTTTAGAGAAGCAGGATCCCTGCCATTAATCCTCTCAACTGAGAACATTCACACACTAGCAAAACAAAAGAACATGGAACTTTGGCCATGTTAACTCCACAAGGCAACAAATAGCTTCTCTCTTTCCACCATGTATAGAAAACAGGCTAGCTTCCTTGGTTAAGCATAAACATGCCTTGACTAAATGGAATCTGGGCTTTCACTTGGGGAGTATATACAGCATGTTCAACCTGTAGACAACTTTCCACACTCTTCACCTACATATATCCAAAAAGTTACTTGAGACAATGTCCATGAAGAGCTAACTTGCCCCTGTAAAGTCTTTGATGAGGAAGTTTTAGAGAGTGATGAAGGCCAAGGAGGATGATATGGGATGCAGACGGAAATGTAGAATGAATCATGACTTTTTTAGAAATATGGTTACTTTTCCTCGTTCTAAGTTACGTGTGGGTAGCCAAAAGCTAAGCTTTAGCGAAAGGAGTCTCTATTTCACTGTCTATGGACCACCACTACCGCCAAACAGGACTCTACAAGGAATTTCCAGTTTCTTGTTTTCACTTTGTCAAATGAAATAGGCTTCCACGAAAGGGAAGTACCATTTTCGCAGGCTTCTGACAGCATCCCTTCTGTGAAGGGCAGGGATGAGAGGGCAGCAAGCAAAGAATAAGCATTATAATTACACCTTGCCCTTAAAATAGATAATCCTAATATGGAATTTGGATTCTGGAAAGGTCGCCTTTAAGAAAATTAGCACTGGAGCAGTAGAGGGAGAAGGGAGTATGAGGTAGTGAAGAAGAATATGTGTGAGAAAGAAAAGGGGGTTGTTCCTTCACATTAGTATTTTCAAAATAATAGATTTACTTTTCTTCTCTGAGTCCCTAGCAATGATCTAGTTCTTCTGCATAATCCCAAATCAGAAAACCGACAAAGCATGATGATTTTTCTACAACTAAATGGTAATCTAAATAGACACAGTGGGGCTCAGTGCAAAGGGCATGAATTCTGGATCCAGAGAGACCTGTGTTTATTTCTCACTCTGCTACTTGCAGCTTTATAGGCAAGTTACTCTGCTAATCTGAGTTTCATTTTTCTTGTTTTTGTAAAATGGGGTAACAGCTTCCTTGCAAGCTTGTCACATGGACTTGAGATAGTATATGTAAAGCACTTGGCACAGATCCTATATCTAGGATTAAAAAGGTACATAATAAATGACTATAATAACATCATACCATTGTCATTTTCACAAATGGACTCTTGTAGAGTCCTACGAACTTCACTTCTCTATTGACAACCTGAAGAGTCTACAGAAGGATATGGGATGACCCATAAGGATGCAGATGGAAACAGTGTCATAGCTACAAATCTTCAGGCCCGAATTCTATTCCTGAGCTGAAATGGGGTCTCTCTTCCTCACAACAGTAAATTCTAAGTGAAACAGCAGGCTCTTGTATTTTGTGTCTCATTCTGTAAATCTGTAGCAGACAAAATAGAAACGTCACTTCTATTCACACACAGTAACCTGAAAAATATGATTTTTCAAACACATTACTGAATTTATGAAAAACAAACAGCTGAGCCAGGTGACCTGATAACTTCACAGCATGAGCTTTAGTCTAGCTCAAAAGAGAAAAAGAATTCCTTGTTGTTAAGAATTTTTTTAAAAAAAATATACTGATTAACGGTTTTCTCCATGTTGGATGCCAAGAGAGACATGAGCAAAGAGATTTTCCTCCAACTTGGCAAAGGTCCTGATAACTTCACAGCATGAGCTTTAGTCCAGCTCAAAAGAGAAAAAGAATTCCTTGTTGTTAAGAATTTTTTTTAAAAAAATATACTGATTAACGGTTTTCTCCATGTTGGATGCCAAGAGAGACATGAGCAAAGAGATTTTCCTCCAACTTGGCAAAGGTACTGCAAAATGTTCAGGTTGACTTTAGATGACCCCAAGTCCATCCTGCCAATCACTATCATAAATACAACCACAGATCCACAAAATAAATTATTGGATTATCCCCATACAAACCTTGAGCCCACTTCAGAAGTGCCCAAGTTGCTTGGAGTATAGCTGGTCCCCATGATTCTAATTCCCCACAGCCCCAGCAGTTCCAAAGGAAGGTGGCTGCTGCTTCTGCCCCCTGTTGACCCTCCCAGGTTGGGTCAACCCAGTCTTGTGGGTTGGCCATCCTGACACACCCAGCCAACCTCATCCTGCCTATGAAGGACTATGCGAGTCACAGTCTGAAGCTGGGGAGCTACTAATATCGATTCAAATTTAAAACTGAAATCTGTTAAAACAGGAGGCTGAGTGACCCCTACCTGAAATGTACAGTGCGACAACCTGTTCCAGACTGAGGCCAGGGACAAGCCAAATAACCTCTGTATCCATCAAGTTTGGAAATTAAGGAACTGGGGAAGGGAAAGGCAGTGGCCTGCCTTTTCTTCTGAGAGAGCTCAAAATCAACGTGATGAAAGCTCACTGGAAATTTCTATTGCCTAGTCTAAGTATTTATTTAAACTTCAAACCCGGCAATTTAGACTTCAATGTAACCAAAAGAAAAAAATATTTGGTTGGAGAATGAAAAAAAAAAAAAAATGGAAAGTGGGTAGATTTCTGCCTACACTAATCCTCCCAGCAGCAGACATGTTAACCACAATATTTATTTTAGTAAATGTAGAGAAAGTGAAAAACATCACTTTTGCCTCTAATATTTCAAAGCCTTGGACTTGTTTTTTTTTTTTTTAAATATATATGTTACTAATGCTGTACATGAAAAATCAGATGCATTTGCTGGCATGAGGACCAGAACTGACAGCCCCATTTACCAACTGAACAAACACCCCACAGAAGATTAAACACGGTTCGTGTTCTCCCCAGACAACCACATGGCCAGAACCAGAGCCCTGACCTAAAAACCACCGTTAGAAAAAAGCCAGTCCAGGGGCTACATGTGTCAAAATTAGGGCCTCATCAGTTAAGGGCTCTCTTTCCTCCCTAGAGTCAAAATATGTTAAAAATAAACTAAACTCTTGGTCGTAAAATTAACCACTACATTTTAGAAGGGTCTACCAAAAATTAAAACTGAACACCCAACTCCAAAACCTGGGCTCATGCTACTGCCTTTAGTTACGCCAGTGTAGAGGTTTAGACCAAGAAGGGAAAAAAAATTTTTCTTTCTTATGGTTTGCAATGATACCTGCCCAAAAGGAGTGATTCACATTCATGATAAATAGCCATGTCCAAGTGGCTAACCAGGGTTTATAAACACAAGCCTCTTTTGAATTTAGTGCTAGAATATGCAACTCTGCCCTTCTGGGCAGGACTGCAGAAGGTGGCTGAGAGGCTGTCTTTGAAAGCTGGTGGCCTTTGCACGCAGGGGCAAATACATGCCTGTGAATGCAGCATGACACAGCAGGCTGTTCCAGACCTGGAGAGGCGCACAGCCTTCCTTCTTAAAATATGACGCATGTTTTAAGGGACTAGTTAGCAATGCGGGACCATCCAGTTCACTCCACTCTGGAGAAAGCCAACTCGTACTGATGAGTCCAAGCCAACTGGCAGAGGGCCTCCCCAAGGTCCCTCCCTACAGAGATCCCTAAAATTTTCTCTACCTTCTCTTTCCTTTCCATGTTCCCATCCCTCATATTTCTTTTACCCTTTTCCTTCTCCTTTATTAAGAGTTAAACAAATGAAACAAAACAAAAATCTAGAAAACTGGCCATGTTATAGTGTTGAGAGAGAGAAAGAGAGAAAGAGAGAGAGAGAGAGAGAAGACTTGGCATAAAAAGCTAGTTAATAAAAAAAAAAAAAAGCACTTATGCTTCGGGGTATAATATAGGACCTTAATTCAAAATAGCTACTTTATTTACTCAAACTGTGGCTCCCTAAATCTAAAACAAAAGTATACGACTCTTTCAGAGAACAAAAAATCCCATGGAGTAAATTTTTTAAATGTCTCCGGAGGAACTGAAGAATTTTCTCGAGGCAAATTCTTACTTGCCTTTAGGAGACAGAAATATAGTCTTCTTCTAGCCTAGACCATAGATCTACTACTGGTAGCTTCCAGGGTCGACTATCCCGACTTCAATATAGCCAATTAAAAGGGACCAGCCATAAAAAGTGCAGATACTACTGTCAGGCAATAAACTAGTAGACCTTATCGGTGACAGTGGTGCACATTACAAACTTCAAACTCATTCCTTGCTCTAATCCATCAGAAACTTCCTGGCTTTAATAGGCTATAAATGGCAGGAGCTTTGAAGTCCCTGGGATTAGGATCAGTAATAGACAGACTGAATGAGAAACTAAATGCAGGTGGAACATACTCTATGCATCCCGAATTAAAAACAAATCCAATTAATCAAATAGTCCTCAACCCTAGCTGCCAGCCAGCAGATTACAGGGGTGGCCAAGGCAAGGAACAAAGTGATTCAGGATGAACCACTGGGAGAGTCTAGTGATTGCTCACTTTAAGGATTTGATTTGAAGTCTGGGCAGGGTATGCTTTGCTGCTGACTGTCCCAATCAGAGGTGAGGCCATCCTTTTTTCCTTTTTTGAAGGGAGCACAGTATCAGAATAGAGATAAGAAAGGAGGAAACTAATGCCTTTTAAACTGAGTTTTCATGTAAACAAATCAGCTAAGAGGGCTGAGGGAAGCTGAGATCTGTTTTCCCAAGGCTGATAGCCTTTGATCCTACTGATTCCTAAGCCCTCAAACACTTGTGGCTACAGAGCATGCCAGGGCTCGGAGTTAAATGGGCCACCCTAGAACAAGAATGAGATGACTGAGAAATTGGGGCCATGTTGCCTTAGAAATGGCATTGCTGTTGAGAAAGCAGGAAAAGTCATTTAAAACAAAGGATGTGAATAATTTGGCCATCCAAAATCAATCCAGCTGAGAGGTGCACTAAAGTCCAACTAGGCCTGTCCTGAACACACAACGTTCTCACTCTTCTTACCTTCTGGAGGGTTTTTATTCTGATTATTCCAGACGACTAGCAGCTTGGATAGACTGGGCACCTTGGACACTTCAGTGATGACCCGGAAGAGGCTCTCCACTCGGTCGTACGTGAGGACGATGGCGGTGAACCCTTGAGACTGTGGTGGGATCAGCGGGAGGAAGAGTGGGTTGCTCACGCTGCTCCACTTCTGCAAAAGGACAGATTAACGTGGGTCAGAGAGGGAGCTGTAACAATGGAGCTGACCCAGCATCAGCAGTAAACCCGACCGTGGCAGGTTTGGTGGCTTTTTCCATGACCAAATCCAGAGCTAAGCAACTGTTCAAAGTCTTTCCCTCCTCAGAACTTTAATTAAGTTTGACACTGATACCATCGAAAAAGGAGCAGAGAACTTTTGCAGCTAAGAAATTTCTAGTTAAACATGACAATTAAAAGCATGCACTTATCTCCATTCCTTCCCCAAACCTACTAAAATGGCAGCTGATTAATATAAAAGACTATAAATCTACAAGGACAAAGAGATGGAAGAAGAGACACCAGCTGATGAGCCGCAGTAACTTATCTCTGAAAGACTGACGGGGCTAGGGAAGGAGCGGCCGAGCAGAAGTGAGAGTGGAGACCTGGGCACCTACCGGGGGGGCAGCCAACAAGGCTCCAGAGCTAAACTCACCTGGGACCTTGCGAGGTAAGAGGAGGGGCAGGGTTGAAAACAGGAAAACTGGTGAAAAATTTGGATAAGGAGCAGTTAAGAGACCCAGATTCACAAACCCTCCCTTTACCCGCTCAACTAGAAAACTACTCTTCTTCCCTCTGCCCAGTTGGTGAAGGCAGGGTTATTCTCCGAGGAAACTGAAGCTCTAGACGTGGAAACACAGGCACAGAGGAGAGGAAAATACAGGTTAAACATCTATGTTCTGAACGATGGGCCCTGCAGCCTTCTTCCCCCTTCAGTTCCCAGAGCACGGGCAGCCACGTGGCTAGCTCGGCACCCTGTCATTGCACAGTGACACCTCCAGGCACTAAGCTGTCACTCACACAAAGAACTGCTGGCCAGCTTTTTACTGCCTCTTTCTTAATCATGAACAGATTCTAGAATCACAGACATTTCAAGAGCATCTTCAGCATGAACGACAGAAATCAAACAAAGAAAAAAAGGAAGTCAGAGGTTACAGAGACAACAGAAGCAGCAGAAGGAAATTAAAACAGCATCGACAATAAATTGTATCTTCAGGGAAATGAGATTTCCCATCCACGAAATAAGAATTGCTATTTTTATTTGAAAAGATCTATCAAAGAACAGAAATAACCCTTAGCTTTCTTAGCTGCAAATAACAGAAATAACATTAAGAACATGAGCTTTGAAATTTTTTAAAAGGGAAGTATTAAAAGATAAAGACAATAAAATAGTACAGACTGGTGAACAAACAGACAGAGAGGAAAAACAGGACAGAAAGGATGAGAAAATCCAGGAGGTCCAACATCCATTAAATAGGAGGTTTCAGAAAAAGAAAACAGAATATGGGAGAAATGAATTTATTAAAGAACTTAAACAAGTTCTCAGTACAGAAGAGATGAGAGGCATGAACTTTCAGATTGCAAGGAAATAATAAGTAGCCAGCACAGTGAATTAAAAAAAAGACAAAAATAAAAAACAAAAACCATTGCCATATCAAAGAAAGCACTTCTGAACGCAGGGACATGTGAGTGTAGGGGATGAGCATGTGAATTCACTGTACAATTCTTAAAACTTCTGTGTGAGATTTTTTTCAAAATAAAGTTTAAAAAGTGATTCTAATGCAGCAATGTAAGCAAAACATTTTTGTATTGATAATAAGCAAAGATGATTAAAATGTTCTTACATTTTTTTTTTACTAGCTTTATTGGGATATAATTCACATACCGTACAATCCAGTCTAAGTATACAATGGTTTTGGTATATAACACTGTTAATTTTTAAAAATTGTGGTAAAATATATATAATATGAAATTTACCATTTTAACCATTTTTAATGTACAATTCAGTGGCATTAATTACATTCACATTTACATGTTACCATGTGAAAACGCCAGGACTGAACTCCATTTCCACTAGAAGGTGGCTGAATACGAAATGTCCTATTATTCTGGCTGCCTTACACTTCCCTAAAGTCTTTTATACTTTGGGATTCCCAAGGTCCCTTATCAATCTCATCCATATCACTGATAGACACCCATCACCACATATATGACAACAGCTGTTTGCCAGATGTAACAGTGTGGGATAGGAAATGTACACAAACACATGGAATACACATGGGATGGGAACTCAAGGAGACTGAATGGGATTCCTGAAGTCCTAATGTAATCAGGATATTAAAGCCAAAATGCCCACAACATGCCATAATTAGATTTCACAATCACAAGACACAACAGGAAAGGCCACCATCTCATGTTGACCTTCTGTTTCCAAGAATCACACTTTCACATTAAACTGTAGTCTCAGGAAGGTGCCCGGATTTTAGTATTTGTACCCTACTTTCTGATTACATTTCTAAGAACCCCTTGTGAGTTTTCTACCCCAAATCTTATTCTTCATCTCTTCCTGACTTTTATGGAAACTGAAGTCAGTAAGCAGCACTTAAGTCACAATCCCCAGGGGATAGTTCCTGGTCTATCTGCCATCACTATCCCCAACCCACTCACCTATTCCTCTTGACACAATACTCACTAATGCCCACTTGAAAACACCATTTTAAACGAAAAAGAAACAAAAAAGATTCTTTTTAAAAAATGTATAAAATAATTTGTGATACTGAAACAGTCTAGATTTACTGAACACTTACCGAGTGCTAAACACTGTGCTTTGTATGTATTTTCTCATTTGAAACTCACAAGAAGCTTCAAGATATATATGCTTACCATTCTCATTTATAGATGATGAAATTGCAGGATTAGAAATAGCCAATGATGTTCAAGGCTATATGATCTGAAAGCGATGGAACTGAGATACAGGGCAGACAGTCTGATTCAAGAGCACCAGACAGTGCTGGTTCACAGCCCTTCCCCATGTCCCCTACAAACATACTCAGACCGAGTCCGGGGCAAGCATCACCACGTTATAGACTTTGCAGAGTGGAAGTGTGGGGGAACTGCAGGGTTTGCTGTTTCTAGCTCTTCTCTAAGACAAAGATCCTAAAAGTTCTTGATCCTTGTTAATCCTATTTGGGCCAATAAGCAAGAACCCACCCCAAACACTGTAATTTCAGAGAGTACGTGGAATAAAAACACACCAAACATATAACACTGACACAAAGTGAGCACATAAATTAAAAGAGGTAAAATACACCACAAACACAGAAGGAAAAACTATTAGAACTCCAACAAAATGAGGTCTGTTCTTTGGGAGAAGGGAGGAGAATGCCAACACGCTTAAATGCCTTTACAACATTAAGAGGATGGGAAAAAAATTCCCTGAGAGATGCAAGGCTTGGATTCAGAAAACGAATGCCTTGGCATTTAAACTGAGGCACCCCCGAAAGGAATCACAGCTCTGATTTCAAGGCACTGCCAGGGAGAAGGAACTGGAGTCTCTGGTTAAGACAACAGGTCTGGTCTTATCCGTATGCCAGCTCCACTGGGGAAGTGGATGGGTAGGGAAGGGGAGAGGGCAGTAAGGAATGGCTGGCTGGGAAGGGGACAGTGTTTTTTCTGGTGTTCAATTTTTCCACATGGTCCACTGACATCCCAAATCGGGCTTGAGAACTGCAAGTGGAGAAGGCAGCATGCGGGGAGACAGAGCATGGAAGGGAGCGTGAGGAGGACTGAAACCTTGCTAACACTTTCCCACGAAACACAGACACTGAGATGAACACAGGCGGCAGCACACAAGCTCCTGAGCACATATTTACTCTGATAAGGACACACCACCAGCGCCGATGCAAATGACTTCGAAAGTGAGTCAGCATGGTTAGAATCGGTTTTGGACTCAATCTGAATGCAGGTTCTTTCACTTCCAGCTATGTAACCTGGGCAAAGTACTTAACCTCTCTTGTACCTCAGAGCTTCTCCATCTATGAAATCGTGATGGTAGTATTACTTGACATAAATGATAAGTACCTGGCATACAAAAGCATTTGATAAATGGTAGCAAACGGTTGATCTTCAGTGAGTAACAACTTCTCTGGGCTTTACTTTCTGCATGTCTCAAAAGTGAGGTGGGGGGGTAGCCTAAGCAATCATGAGGTCTCTTTCAGCACAAAAATTCTAAGTGGAATCCTTCTTCCTCTCTCCCTTCTCCTTGTCATGCTTTAAGGTCCTGGTTTACTTGGATTCTCTACCTCTACTTCTTCCTCTCCAAATATACTGTTTTTATTTCCATAATTTTCTCTTTTCCTTCCTATGGTTTGTTTCAGCTATCCTGAAAACTCCATGGAAGCAGCAGCCTTAACACCTAGTACCTAGTACAGTGTCTACTGCCACTCCGTAAAAATTTGTTTAAAAAAAATGAGTAAGTTAAACGCAAACGATCCAGGCCATGTTCTTTCTGTCCTCTTTATGTATAGATATGAATAGTTGATGTACGCTCACATACATGTACACTCAAAATCATTACAAGTTTTGTTTTTTTTTTGACACAGGGTCTCACTCTGTTGCCCAGGCTAGAGTGCAGTGGCCTCATCATAGCTCACTGCAACCTCGAACTCCTGGGCTCAAGTGATCCTCCTGCCTCAGCCCCCTAAGTAGCTAGGACTACAGGCACACACCACCACATCCGCCTAATTTTCTATCTTTGGAGTGATGGGGTCTCACTCTTGCTCAGGCTGGTCTGAAACTCCTGGCCTCAAGCAATCCTCCCACCTTGGCCTCCCAGATTGCTAGGATTACAGGCATGAGCCACCATGCCCGGCCTCAGTACAAGTTTTGAAATCATTTTCAACCTAGTTAATTCATTTTATAAGTACTTACCAAGAATCTTACTATGCTAAATGTTCAGAAGAAGTATTAGGATTTTACAGGGACATTTATTTAATACAGAGTTTGAATCTGGGCCCATTTACTTGTGATGTATAATGTTACTTCTGTGACATCAGTTTCCTCATCTGTACTATAGGAATCATGATAGTATCTATCTCCTAGGGTAATGATGATTAAATGGGATTACATATATAAACGCTTAGCAGAGGACTCAACAAGCAACTCCATGAACAGTAG